TTTGACGTATCTTCTTTATTCACCAATGTACCTCTCATAGAAACAGTGGACTTTATATGTGAAGAACTTAAAAGACGAAACATCGAGGTGGGCATTCCTATATCTTTCATGAAGGAGCTTCTCTTGAAATGTACAATGAATGTCCACTTTTTATTTAATAAGGAACTGTATAGACAAATCGATGGTGTGGCAATGGGGTCGCCACTAGGACCCATTCTAGCCGACATTTTCCTGCCGAAACTAGAAAATGGGCCTTTGAAAGATGTTATTAATTAACTCGAATTTTATTGTCGATACATGGATGATACTTTTTTGATTATGAAGAAGGAAAAGGAGGCAAAGAACATGCTGGACAAATTTAATGAGGTACATCCTGCAATAAATTTTACTATTGAGAAAGAAAAAGACTCTAGTATTTCATTTCTAGACGTCCTTATGACCAGAAAAGAGGATGGCACAATAAGAAGAAGTGTTTATAGAAAACCTACATCAACGGTCCAGTACACACATTTTATCAGCTTTGTGCCCTTGAAATACAAACGCAATCTAATAAAGTACTTGGTCCACAGAGCAAGAGAGATTGGCTCGTACGAATGTCTTGACGAGGAACTTAACAATATTAAACGGTTGCTAAGTGAGAATGGTTATCCTGAAAAGTTTATTGATAAGAATATGAATCTAAAACCAAAACAGTCCAAGTTACCAACAGCTCCAAAGAAAGCCTTGTTCTTACAAATGCAGTTCCTAGGAGACAATACAAGTGAGATACTAACACATCGCCTCGGAAATGCGGTAAAAAGAGCATTCTCTGCTGCTCAATTATGCTGTATCTTTAAGACCACTCCTCTTCTGCGTTCGGGAATAAAAGACAAACTGCCTAATTTTGCTTCTTCCATGTGTATATACCAATTTAACTGCTCCTGTGGAGCCAGTTACATAGGTCGTACAATTAGGCATCTTTCTCGTCGAATTTCCGAACATCACCCTGCCTGGTTAAGCAAAGGTCAAACAAAATCTATTCGCAGCGCTATTCTGGCGCATCTTGTGGAGACAGAACACAAGACTGACGTTAATCATGCTTTCAGGGTCATTAATCGCATACCTACGAATCTCAATTTCGCTTTAAGAGTTCGACTACTAAATATTGCTGAGGCTGTGGGGATTCATATTAATAAGCCTAATTTATGCACCCAAAAGAAGTTAGTTCAGTCATTATCATTACTTTGGCCATCCAGGTTTGAATAATCCAGAATTTTTGTGAAATTTCCCTAATTTTAGTTGATATTCTATTCGCTGTTATATCTTTGTTATTATTATAATCTAAGCATCTTTAATGAACTGTAATTCCACTGTGATCTTACTTTACAAATCGATATTATTTAAAAAAACGCTAATATTGTTATTAACTACTAATTTAAAATATTCTGTGTATATAAACATATGTGTAATTGTAGAGCCTAGAAGTGGAATTTATCGAAAAGCATATTCTTTGCTCCATTATTTTGTGTTTTATAGATGTCTGAATGAATATTTTTGCAATATCTCTTATTACTCTACTATCCTTAATGCAGGATGATTATGTCGTCTTAAGACACAATTGTTTCGTCTTCACGATATTCACGTTTCAATTTGAAAACTACATTACACGATTTATATTCCATAAGGCATAGACAGAATGTATATATCCGTGTATGTAGAGTATTCAGCTGACGAGTTCTACCGAAATTTGATGAATTCATTAAATCCTGCTTTATTAACCTTTATTGCTTGTTTTAAATTCGTATCGGGAAATAAATGTTTCCAATTCTTGAAGAAGCGTCTCCCGGAAAGCACTATCAATGCACTAAATGATCTAGTGAAATTGAGGTGTAGGATTGCTAAACACTCTGCGCGACGTGATTTTTTGAAGGAATGTATCCAGACTAATATTTACCCTCGGACATTTTATAAATCCTTGCGTAAAGATCATTTGAGACCTACACGGCCAAATCTTTACCGTCTTGCTGAATCACATTTGTCTTCTGAAACAGATGAAATCAGTAATTTATGCGTATTATCAAGCAAACTAATCAGTGTACAAAATGACTTAAATTTCGTATGTTATCTTAAATTCACTAAATATCTGCATGCCACTGCTAAAAAGATAAAAGAATCAGAAGAAAAGAAACTGAAAAAGTCACCTCATCCGGAACCGCCAAATGAAAAATTTTCCCAGTGGATATATCTAATTATGTTCACAATTTATCTGATGTTTCCCTATCAAAAGAACAAGTGGAAATTCTGTCAATGGGATTCAACTTCTGTGTTCTCATGAAAAACATAAAGCAAATTGACATTGAATGCCAATTCGAAAATCTTTATGATCAACTTATGGGGCTACATGCCACGTCCAACGACAGCGAAAGCTGGTTGAAAGCAAAGATGGTTGATATTGCTCACCAATTTCGAATCATGCCAACGAATCAAAAGTCGCACATCACCAAAGAACACTGGAGATCATTAAACAAGCTCCGAAGAGACAATAATCTTGTTATTCTACAAGCTGATAAAGGACAAAGCGTAGTGCTAATGAATAAGACAGATTATCTCGAAAAAATGCATCAAATTCTCTCCGATGAATCTAAATTCAAATTGGACAATCAAGCAAAAGATCAAACGTTGTCGATCGAAAAGAAAATTGTACAGCAGCTACGCCAACTATTCAAAAATAAATACATTGATGAAAACACATATAGAAATATCAAGCCGATTGGGTCACAAATCCCAAAACTATACGGGCGTGTTGAAATACACAAACCAGGAGCGCCATTAAGACCCATACTCTCGATGATAAACTCACCATACCACAAATTAGCATAGTGGTTATGTGAACTGTTGCAGCCCCTGCGGAAACGCTTCGGGAAGTATATCGTTTCTGATTCATTCCAGTTTGTTGAGCAAATCAAAGATTTCAATGTATCTGATAAACATTTAGTCTCTTTCGATGTTACCTCCCTCTTCACAAATGTGCCAGTCATTGAGACTATAGACTTCATATGTGAAGAAGCTGAAGACATACCCATTCCAACGTCGGAATTGAGGAAATTGTTACTTTTATGTACTAAAAATGTCCAATTCCAATTCGATGGGCGTTTATTCCGTCAGGTTGATGGTGTCGCAATGGGAAGCCCCTTGGGACCACTTTTCGCTGACTTATTCTTGTCACGCCTAGAAACCGGTACCTTGCAACAACATATACAAGAAACGGATCTATACCTAAGATATGTTGATGACATTTTTATTGCCTGTGGAAGCAGATCAAAAGCCGAAGACATGCTGACAAAATTCAACTCATGCCATCCAAATCTCAATTTCACAGTAGAACACGTGGAAAATGATACTATCAAATTCCTAGACGTTTTTCTGGCGAAAACGAATGATAGCACAATCGAAAGATCTTTATTTAAAAAGTCTTCATGGACAGGACAGTACATGCATTTCAAGAGTTTTGTTCCAATCCAGTACAAAAAGAACTTAGTCAGAACACTGTTCAATAGAGCACGAAAAATTTGTTCTGACAGTACTGTTGAGTATGAAATAAAATCCCTGAAGGATATCTTATCTAAGAATGGATATCCTGAGAAGTTCATTAATAAATACTCTAAAGAAAACACCCACTGCAAAACAATCCAAACAGTTCCGAAGAAACCTATCTATATCAGCTTGCCGTTCAAAGGAGATGATGTACAGGAAGTAGTCAAACGAAGACTGGACAAAGCCATCAAGAGAACTTATTATGCTGCAAAACTTGTTTTCCTTAACACCACTAAGCGAGTGCTTCAACAATCTGGGAAAGACCAGTCGCCAATCCTCGACACTTCAAACTGCGTATATCAATTTGAGTGTGTTTGTGGAAGCAAATACATAGGTCGTACGGAAAGGAGATTGTCTACTGGCATGATGGAGCATTTGCCAAAATAGTTGAAAACAGCTGAGTGCAAAGTGCCAAAATCCTCAATAACAAAGCATCTTGTGGATTACGGGCATGATATCGACGCAGTCAAGTCATTCACCATTGTCAGCAGACAAAGAAACAAGAAGATGCTTGCAATTGCAGAGGCTTGTGCAATTCGAGTTTACAAACCAGGTCTCTGTGTACAAAAGGAGATGGTCGTGACTCTGAATCTACCATGGTAATACGTTTTACTTACAATTCTACCTCTTATTATTATTTTATTATTACTATTATTATTCTCATTATTATTATTATTCTTGATTCATTTAAAACTATCCTTTATCAGTAGCATTATCTTAACCCACTTCAACACTATTATTATTATTGTTATATTATATTATTGTTATTATAACTATTACTATTGACATCCCTCTGGTTGCAATTCTTGTTAAATTCTCTAATGTCTAATTGTTTATCTAAGTGATGTAATTGAAGCGTAATGCAATTTATCTTAATTTTGATCTCCCATACTCTCTCTCCCCTTATCTAATTGCACATGACCTGGAAAAACATTCGCACCTGTCTTTCTGCATGACTAATTCAATGTAGTTTATTTACTTATCAGTCCTATATCTCCCAATGTAACTTCAAAAGTATATATCCGTGTATGTAGAGTATTCAGCTGACGAGTTCTACCGAAATTTGATGAATTCATTAAATCCTGCTTTATTAACCTTTATTGCTTGTTTTAAATTCGTATCGGGAAATAAATATTTCCAAGAATGTAGACTGTTTTTTCCTGTAAGCTACACCAATTTGCTTTCAGGGAATTATTGAACCAATCAAAATTTTCGAGGTATCTCAATACCAAAACATTGGACAGTTTATCACATGCTTGTGCTTATTCGTGTTTTGATAGTAATGACTGTTAGTACAACTACCTCGCATTTTAAATAGTCTGATTTTTATATATCACCTGACAATTTATAAGCCTGTGATTGGATAATTACCATGGACAATAATGTCGATATATAACCTGTCTGTATATTTGATGTCAATATAACCGCCGTAAAATACAATTTCGTTTTAGCGCAGACGTCGATACATTTGCGGGATAATGAACAGAAATTTAGCTTGTTTCGGAGTACTTTTATACTTGCTTGTCAGTATTCTCAATAAACGTAAGTAACTCAGCTTAACGTAATTCTGTTCATATAATTTTGATCATAAGCAATATTCCTATGGATATGAGTCTTAAACGAGTGGTTAGCTTTAATAACCACTAATTGTAGTTCTGATGTGTAGCCAAGATAAGAAGGCACTTCTGTTTTGCTTCTAGAAATGTGTAATTCATCGGAGTATTCCAAGTTACGTTCTTACCTTGCTACAGTATCAGTTTCAACTGCAAATTTACAGAAATCTTAACAACATTTTGTAGCAATTTTTCGTCATGTTGACAGTCAGTAATAAGCTCCCCCTTAAACATCCGATTTGAGGCCTTTAAGATTTATAGTCTTACGAGACATATAACAATCATGCCTTGTCAGCAATGAAGGAGAATACAACTCATTAACGACCTCACAACTTTTAAAGGTTTTTAGTATGATCAATTTTCAGGGTCATTCTCAAGGTTGTCTGCACTGGCTACTTTTCTTTAACATTATCATCACGGTTTAGTGTATTTGAATGAAAAATTTTGACCTGAACAATGCATGATCATAAAGATATTTATGCAATCAATAAAACGTAATCTACCCAGTAAACTCGTGCACATGTGTACTATTGCTGAAATTGAAAGATGGTGTAGCCGATAGGCTCACTTCAGTTGCCAGTAGTATATTATCGCTATTATTATGATTGTTGTTATTATTATTACTATTCTTTTGGGTTTAGAATGGAACGTAAGGCTTTAATAGCCCATAGCCATCTTACCTAGTCCCCAGCATTCCTATTCAGCTGGCCGTATGACTTCTTCTTACATCGTCTTCTTCATAATAACCTCAGACAACCAACTCGTTATTTCACATTCGGGTTCCACTCCAGGAACTGGTGGATGATATCATCCAATGGTTACTTCAGCATATAAACAATCCATCTCCACTTCCTCCTGTGTATTTATTGGGTGATGGATTCTCGGCTGGCGCCTTGCATCATCAGAGTTCCTCGATGCTTAACATTTCTGGCCGTCTGATCTTCAGTATCTGCGCAGCCAAGGCAGCTGATGATGAAAGTCTGCAACAGCTTTGATGATGCGTGTACTAAATACCTGGATAACAAAGAAGAACTGAGGTGAAATTAATGTTGTGAATCTGGATCATGCTTCTGACGTCTTGGGAACATTCACAAGGTCATTGGAACATTTACAATCCTGGAACTCTATTCTTGTACTTCGCCCAGATTTTTACACCGATTTCAGTGCTATGGAGATTTATCTTGCTTTTCTGTTTCTAACTTTTACATCCTCATCCGTCTTGGCTGTCATTGGAACAATTCTGTCTAGATAAGCATGATAGAAAGAAGTGGCTCCCTTCATATTTTTTCTCCCGTTGATGATAACAAATGACTAAAGCTTCTTACCTACGTTTTCGATGGCCACCTTGTAAATATTTCCTGTCTGTCAATGTTTTGTTAAACAGAGTGGACTTTTCACTTTGTCTTTAAGTATATGTGCACAAAAAAAACATTCACAAATGAATCAACCTAAGCCGTGATATATCAGCAACAGATAGATCGGGAAATTGCTTCAAAACTGTTTTAGAGTATTCCTTAATTTGTTTTACTGGTGATTCCATTGTTTTGTCGCATTCTAACAAGTTTGATTCTAAGATTTACGATTCCTCCTACATATATATATATATATATATCTGGTGTATAGACGCAATATATCGCAACTTTGATTGTATTTGCTTTTTTATAGATATTGCAATTGTTCCCTTTGTTTTCCTTCTGCCTTGTACACAGATAAATGTATGGCCATTAAATGTTATGATTGCGACAATTGCCCCAAAGTCTCAAATGCATCGATCTCGACTGAAGAATGCGCGAGATGCATTGTAAGTTGAATTCTATGACAAATTCGAACAAAAATTTCCGCACTCTTAAAAATACTTCAAACTATTATTAAGAGCTCTTAAAAATGCACATAACTTTTTCCGAATTGAGTCAACATTTTATTTAAATATCTAATGATGAATAAGGATAAATGGGTTGTCTTGTTTTTTCTACTTAACTGTAAACTGTTTCATCTTGAGATTGTGTAATTGCTTTCAAAGATGAAGTGTATTCTAGCTGATAACCGAAGGTAAGCTGTCTCTGTCGAAAAAAATAATGTTGAAACTTTGGTTACTCTGAGGAAGCATAACAACCGAGGCGTAAGGCCGTCGTAATGGCTTTGATCAACCAATCAAGTGAACCCATAACAAACACACGGGGACATGGATGTAGTACATGAAATATACTGCAGCTTTTATCCAGATATAGAATTTCATTACTACCCTGATAAACAGCTCATAAGAAATAATAAAGCATTTAAATGTCTTTACACAGATCTGTGGCCACTGTTGATAGGTATTGGTGCGTCGGTGGCACCGTGGTAGAATGCTCTCCAGCCATGCAGGTGGTCCGGGGTTTCGATCCCCGTCCAACGCAATCCTCTGCCTCGCTAAGCCAGTAATAAGACTGGTAAAGAGGGAAGGTTTGGCATGAGGTTAGCAACCACCTCCTGTGAAAGTAAACACCACTGCTACCGAAACTTCACGCCTCTAGCTTGTAGGACTGTGTTCCACTGGGAATGGAATGGAATGAAAAGAAAAGGAAGAAAGTTGATAGGTATGTGTACAGATGTTCAGACTGTCGTTGCAGAAAATCTCTCCGAGAAGGTATGTCGTTTCTATTTTAGGCCAAGTTAAACTTTAAGCACCACTAAGTAACAACAGATTGTGACCGCAACAATAACGTTGGAGCATTCAGTGAACATGTTATTGAAACTATGCATATAACATTAGAATCAAGAATAAAATATGCTTCATGATGTGTTTTGTTACTAAACGGGTTATGTGGTTAGCTTTCATTAGGTTAAGAGAGAACTTAGTTAAGATTTAGGCTAAGGAGATGTTAGGGTTGCCATAATCTAATAAAGGGAATATAAAGGTAAGTCTGAGCTAGATTAAAGTTAGTTTAGGGATAGTTTTGCGTTAGAGTTAGGTTAAGAAAAGATTAGGACTAGAATGAGGTTTAGTAGACCTAGATGAATGGATGTATAGAATATTGTATTGTAAACTCAAATCCTTAAATGGGAGGCATTTTTGTGAAGAGTCAGAGGAAAGCATCCTGTGCAAAAGTTTCAGGCATTCTACTCAACATTTTCATAAACACCCATTTTTTTCCTAAAAATCTCCTTTTTTATATGAATGGTGCGTTCAGAGCCATTTGTCCGTTGGTACTTAATGGTGTTTGAAGTTTAACTTCGCCCTATTTTACGCTCATCCGTGATTTAGAGCGGTGATTACGTCACGAAATAGCATGATATTCAGTCATCTGGATGAACTTTTGTACAGAAATTGGTTTGGACTATTACTGAAGATTCCAGTAAGGAGCTGGAAACGAGAACGTTAACCTGTATAACTTTTTTAACGCCAACTTTAGTTTCTCTGGGGAAAATTTAAAACTACGTGCTCTGTCAATCGGCTCGTCTGATTGGTTGATCATGGTTATTGTGACGGCCCTTCTCTTGGATCACTATAGGTTAGACTAAAACAAATTTTTATCGTGTCAGAAATCCCTTTTGAATGTATTTTTAAGATAAAATAATCTGTCATCATATCAATGATTCATTTTAGTCACAAACTGTGTGTCCTGAAAGCCGTCGGATACATTATTACAACTTTTAAGTCAAAGTAACTCAAAACGATGATAATTGTTTGGCAGGAAAAAAGAGAGAATTATCATCACTGTCGGTACTAGTGTCAATAACAGTAATAGTAATAGCCTCATTGATAAAAGAATTAGGAATAGCTGATGTGGATGACGGCAATAATGACAAGGGTAGGATGGCAATGCAGATATTTCAGAAATTTCTTTTATATTATTCCTTGTATTCTGAGTGGAACAATATGCATCATACTTTGAAGTTCCAGTAGCGGGCGTTTCGGTTTTATTTTACGCAATGAGGTTGCTAGCATCACCTTCAATATTTTGCCTTTCTCATGATTACAATGGGTTGACGAGGTTCAGGAGTTCCGGGGAATGACTGTTATAGATTACTATTAATCAAGAGAGACAAAAATGATTTATCTTTAATGTATCTGAATTTTTCCCCAACCAACTACATGACCATTCAGTAAAGCGTTTCTTAATGTGCTCGACTGTTCATTCTGTAGAGCATCAGTTAAACTTTCAAATATTCATAGAAATTTTATCTTCCGCTTGAATATTGACTGTCTATCAGCTGAGAAATGATAAACAGAGTGTAATTTCTTGAAGTAAATTGGTGGATGGACACTAGCAATGGACTCCAAGATACTCAGTTCGTACTGCCTAGCACTCATCAGTTGGATGTACTTGCATTCCCAAGTGAGTGGTAGTGTTCCCACTGTAACTCGAACCCAGTACCTGCCATTTCAAATGCTAAAGCGTCGAAGCATCTGCATAAGGAGCCTGTATGTCAATCTTAAGCCAATGAACGTCGGTCCAATCAATCATCGGGAAAGTTCAAGTTGATTTAAAAGACAGTAATTATGTTATAAAGTCTTTTCATAGTTCTAAACAGTCCTTAAAGTATGACCTCATCGGACAAATCTCCATTACAAGTGAAACTGTGAATACTACGTAATTTCAATTTTATTAATCATAAATATCCACATCATTTTTGTAATCACTTTGCAGGTTGGAGGTGTAGGCAGTAATACATACAGACGGTGTCTTTACAAAGGTCAAAGCATTCCAGCTGACTTTCCTGAAGAAGGTCAGCAAGTATGTTACACAGATCTTTGTAATGGTAAAACAACATCTCCACCAGGTAAGTGTGTCAAAGAAAGTCTTCTTAATATCGAATGACTTATTTTATGCACTAATCTTCCTCTTGGTAAGCATGTCAATTAATTTTCTATTTTTGTGTCAATGTGCAGTTGTTATCATTCAGATACAAGTTAGTCTGACAGCCCATTAGGTACACAGCTTAGGTGTTTAATAAGCACTTTAAATGATTGTCTTAGAGTGTTGTAACTAATTTTTATGATTTTAGTGATTTTGTGAACTTGATTTATTCGTAAATAATAATCGTTTGAATCGGTGGTGTTTTATGATTAATATGTAGATAAAACTAAGCTAATGACAGATTCCTAAACAAGGCGCTACATATGATTCCCTTATTATCTAATTGTGTTTGACACAATTTTTTGAATAGCCAGAAATGTTTATGAAACCTTATTAGTCTTATATCCGAATTCACCCTGTAGTTATGATTTTCACAAGAAATGTAATAATTTAGGTAGTTACACTAGTGTTTTGGATCAAAGGATTGAGAAATAACATTTACCATTCTGAAGAATGAGATTACTAGGACAGACTGGAAGTATTTTGTTCGCAAAAATAGGGGAAACTAATAACATGATATCTTTTTGGTAGTTAATGAGAAGCGGTTGAATCCAGAATGCGCACTTCTTCCTACATCAGACTTACCAGCTGAGTGTACCTGTATTCCCAATAGATGATGCTGTTCCCATTTTGACTCACACCCTACACCCTTTGATTCAGACGGCGAACGTTATTCATTGCACCGCTAGAACCCCTTCCTGATCAATAAGTATCAGCCTTCATTGTTTTAACTTAATTTGTATTTCCTGTTGATTGATCATATTGGACCCAGGGACTCTGTCTCTGTTGATATGCATGAAGGGTTCAAATCTCTGTGGGGATATCATCACTCCCTGAGAATGCAGATACTTCCAGGTGGTGAGTACTGAATAGGACTACGAGCTCATCTTGCTTTCCACTACTACTCACCACCAACCAAAGCAACATTATAATAATTTTCAGAATTTGTTGCAACGTCTTTACTAGCACGTGACATTTCAGCAGAGTCCAAGTGATTCCGTGCAACAATAATCAATCAAGGGATGATATAAACTAACTTAAAACAATACTAAGCCGTTAACACCTATAATTTCCAGCATTTTTAATAATTACTGAAGCTAACTTGGTTTAATCTGAAGTACTATAGGGAATCAAAAAAAGGTCATCATCACAAATGGATCAATAACCTTTTACTTCTGTAAAGACTGTAATAACCGAAACCGACTCGTTGTGGTCCAAACGGAGAGGACTGATCATTGAGCCTTAATGCACAGCTCACAGAAACTTCATTGAGAAAAACACAGTCACAAAAATCCCCTCAAAAAGTAGCAAAACGGCGATTGTTTGTTGTCGGAATCTATGTGTGGTTTTATTCAACAATAATAGCAACGGAAATTAAAAACTACCTCAACAGAACCGTTAGGTAGCTATACAGGGAATGCAGGTTTCTATGCTCAAAACTGTACTGAAGAAAAAAATGTAGTTATCGAACATTCGGCTGGAAGAAGTGTCTTGGATTCAAGTAGGGATCAAAAACCCTGTCCACACGAAGCACACATCAATGCTTCCTACAGACAGTCCTAGATCAAAAAGACCTCCATTCACTCAAACATCATAGATTAATACATTATCAGTGTACACACAAAACACTGAGAGATGCCTTAAAATAAGAGATTAAACAGTGACAAAGACAAATAATAAGGATCAAGTCAACATGTGATATACAAACGCCAGGTCAACGATGTAAAGTTTATGAGACAAGGGGACAATAATTGCAAAGTTAGTTGTGAAAGGTCCAAATAAATATAAATATTGTGATTAGATTGTCCAGTAGGGATTTTTCAAACAATCCTATCATTACGAAAATTGATTTGAAACAGTGATTATGTGAACTAGTGTGCATGTTTCATTTCCCAGTACAACTGCTTCACTATAGCACATATAAGTTAGTACCAGTGCTATTCGTTATAACTATCCACAGTCCCTATTTTGATTCGATTTTGCCACAGACGTACTGATAAATGGGACCAACGAAAGGTTCATTTGACTGACAGTACACAAATGATAAAGTTCATTTAAAAGATAGCCATTAAACTCCTAAAGTGGTAATTCTGAATATGTTTGGCGTGCTAGTGAGTATAGCAAGTCGACAGAAGAAGTGATGAAGATCGTTTGGCTACCGTAAGCCAGATAACATAGTGCATGCATTGAAGCTTTCTTCCTCAATGAGCTGTGTTAGATAAAGTAGAATTAGGTCCAAAAATTATTAGGATTGTCTCGACAGAAACATTGTATCAATGCAGCAATTTTTTGGGTGTTAGTCTCAGTCATTTTGAGAAGTGCTGCTTGTTTGAATGGGCTCCTTCGACCGTAGGCAATCAACGGTTGAAGACTTCTTGTGATATAACTTTAGTCTTCTAGGATTGTTGTACAGATAAATAGATAAACACTTTATGTCATCCTAGAGAGTCTTATGATACCTCATAAATCTTCAATGAACTGTTTCTCCCCCATACATCTTTTATAATTTCATTACATTTATGTGTGTGTGTTTTTCCCTAAAGTCTGACTGATTGGATGTGTGTACTTTAGTTAAGTATCTAAGTTTTCAAGTCAGTTTTCCTGTCAGTTAATGGACTGTTTTAACGCAAGCCAAGTGTGATAACCCTTGATTGCATAAGTTATAACTGTATCCTGTATTGATGCATTCATTTGGATATCTGCAAAAGCTCAAAATCTGAATGAAGTAATAAAAAGCATTTCTATTATCAGAAAATGACTCCTTATTGAATTTGTTACTAATTGTTTACCTGAATTTCTATTTTCTAATATATTTCAGAACCTCCTATTAGTAAGTGACAATTGATTCCATATAACATATATATATATATATAATATATAATTAGATAATTTCAATACATTTTACAATGAATATACTTTGTGACACTGTTTGTTAAGTGGTAATATACCCAATTTTAGAAATGAAATCGGAGGTTGTCTATCCTTTTGAACTGCGTTAATTTGAAAGTATGTTACACAGCTTATGAGTAAAATCTTGCTGAACGTGCTGTGTTATATGTTGTACATTTAGACTGTACAAAAGGATCAATGGTGATTAGACTGACTGGAGCCAGAAAATTCCTCATTGTGGGTTTTGACTACTTTAGCAATGAAAAATCTGTCTATCGAAGACTTTGGATATTATTACACTACCTCGCCGAACTCTGATAACCTCTACGAGAGTTTGAATGTATATTTCCATTTATTTCTACTATTGCTCACATCAGTGATTCATAAGTGTTCAAGTTAGACTGGAATAGGCTAGAAAAAGTACTGATTTAGAAGCTCAACAAGTGACAGGTAGGAAAAATAAGGAAGCACTTATTTTGACCGTTAGGTAATTTATTGATAAAGATTTAGATCATATACGACAGCAAAGAAGATATTAAAACTGCATAGGTCGAGGAATTCAGCATAAAGGGAACCCAATTACCAAGGAAAAAAGACAGATTAAGCAATGGGCGAACCATTTAGAAGGACTCTTGAATTGATCACCACCTACAACTCGTCCAGAAATACCAACAACAGCACGTACACAACTGCAAGTTGACACCAATCCTCCAACGAAAGCTGAAGTCTTGAATGCAATCAAGCTTCTGAAAGCTGGAAAAGCAGCTGGACCAGATGGAATACCCCCGGAAGCACTGAAAGCGGACCCAGAAACGACGGCAGATATGCTTACTCCATTATTGCAAAAGATCTGGAAAGAGGGAAAGGTGCCTACTAACTGAAATAAAGGTTACCTCGTGAAACTACCAAAGAAGGGCGACTTAGGACTCTGCAAGAACTGGCGAGGAATCATGCTCCTGTCAGCGCCAAGCAAAATCCTGAGTCGCATCATCCTGGAGAGAATCAAGGACGCACTGGATACAGAACTCCGACCAGAACAAGCTGGATTCAGGAAAGGCAAATCATGTTCTGACCGAATCGCAACTCTACGCATTATCACCGAACAAAGCATGGAATGGCAATCAAATCTCTACCTCAACTTTATAGACTTTGAGAAGGCGTTCGACAGCGTTGACCGCGAAGTAATCTGGAAACTACTGGAGTACTACGGCTTACCCCAAATATTCATCAAACTTATTCAACAGCTGTACGATAACGGCACATGTCAAGTGATCCACAACGGAAAACTCAGCGAGGCGTTTGGAGTAAACACAGGAGTCAGACATGGATGCTTATTATCACTAATGATATTCCTAATTGTGATGCACTGGATTATGCGTCAGACAGTGGGAAACACGAGGACAGGGATATCCTGGACCGACGTGGAGAATCTAGTAGACCTGGATTTCACGCGTGGATGATTTATGTTTGATGTCACACAAAATCGAAGACTTACAAGCGAAAACCGACAAACTGGTGGAAGAAGCAGCCAGTGAAGACAGGACTCCAGGTGAACATAGACAAGACGGAGGTTATGAAAATAATCAACCAACCAACAACAACAACAGCAGCAACATCCAGCGCCAATCACCATCAACGAGAAGGATTTGAAAGAGGCTACTTCATTCACTTATCCAGGGAGCACTGTGTCAACTACAGGAGGAACGGACGAGGATGTCAAATCGAGCGAGAATCGGGAAGGCGAGAAACACATTCATCAACCTGAAACCAATCTGGAAATCTTCGTCACTCAACTCACCATCAACACCGAAATTCGGATTTTGAATACAAAAGTCAAGTTAGTTCTCCTATACGGATGAGAAACTTGGCGGGTCACAAAGAATATTTATTTTCAACAGCCTGTTGCAGACCTTTATCAACAACTGTCTTCGTTCTATACTGAAGATTAGATGGCCGGAAAGAATCACCAACAAGAAACTATGGGAACAAACAAAACAAGAACAAAATAATCGCCCAACAAATATGCAGGAGAAAGTGGAGATGGATTGGTCACTCGCTGAGGAGGCCGCTGGGTGACATCGCGCGTCAGGCCATAGCTCGAGTGGAACCCGAAAGGGAAGCGGCGAGTTGGAGGGTGACATGGAGGAGATCGTGTGAAGAAGAGTTGAGACAGTATGGACTAACATGGATGCAGGTGAAAAGTACAGCAGAAGACAGAAACAAGTGCAGACGTGTAGTTGAAGCCATATATCCCACTAGGAACCCAAGGGAACAATGATATTTATATATTTATAATAAAAATCCAAATGTTCTACCTTTTTATAAACTTTAAAAGCTTAAGTCCTTCACCATCACACTCACTTATTGACTACTCTTGCAATTACTTTACAATCTTGCCATGTTTCGATAGTGTTATTATTTTTATTACTGTTAGTAATAATGGTTTGTTTTCCACTTATTCTATGGATTGAATTTGCAGAGAACCCAATCAAGTGTTATGTTTGTGAAGACTGTGGAAAAAGTAAAGGAGAAATCACATATCCCTGTGGCGGATGTGCGGTAAGTTCTATTCTTCTATTATCTCAGTGTATAAAAACATCGAAATTGTAATAAAATTTATAAGGTTGATCCATGTGTTGATCTAATATTTCAACAGGTATTGTGTTTATAAGGACTACGAAAAGACTACTTGATGAACTTTAGAAATAGAAAAGACATGTCTTTACATTCTTGCAGGAGCATAAATTAGTGTTATGACAAGAATTCTTGAATTTCGCAGTAATATCAAAGTACTGATGGTCGAAAATAGATGAGTGAATTATCAGTTGTCAGTGGTCATACATCAACTGATGTCACCTTTAAGTTATGAGATGAAAAATAAAGGTAAAAACTGATATAAGCATAGATAGAACTTGGGCAGTATGGTACAGTATAATTCCATTATGGATAAAATTTATTTCGATAAGGTCACACAGTGTTGTTGCACAGTAATATTCACTGATGACAACGTTTCGAGCACAATTTATTACTGCTCATAATGATATCAGGATGTACTCACACAACATTCTTGCTTCGTTTATCTACATGAGTGTAGATTGATTAGACATATGAATAAAGTCAGTGTAAGTTAAAGCACATTCGGAAACAATATTAGTGTTGCCAACAAAATACAATTTCGATGAGAAACAAGATGTTTTCATTGTAAAACAAGTAACTTGTTAGAATGGTATAATGTGAATTGAAATGCATTTCAACATTATTCATTATCCTCTGATTTGACTGGTGGTAATAATATCTTCCGTATCTCTGATATTTTCGTTTGGTCTCTTCTGTTGCATGTGATGGGTGTAGACTCGATGAACTGAGATTCAGGAATCAATCTCTCTCTCCACCTGTGCGTTGGTGGCACAGTGGTTAGGACTCTCGCCGACCATACACATGGTCCGGGGTTCGATCCCCTGCCGACGCACACCCGATATCTATGGTCGGCCTGCGAAATTTGGGCTACCGATATCCATGCTGAAAATGCCATACTTGTACTGAAAATACGGTGTGGCATGAAGCTGTAATCAGAAATAAAAATAAATAAATATATTATGCTTAAGAATTTTGACTCTGTCCCAGCCTATTGTGTGGTTGTGCAGTGTGATTTCTGAGCTTCTTTCTAAATTATTTCTCTTCATGGGGTTAATCATTCTAACCTTAGCTAAATTCTTATTTTCTGATAATCTGACTTCTCCTGATCTACTAGTTTGACCTATGTGGTTAACTTAAATCACAATCATTGCAAGGTATTTTGTAAATTACATTATTTTGTTTAATTGTGTCATCGGGTTCTTCAGCCTACAGAGCTTTTTCTACCTGAGTGAGTTAGTAGGTTTGAATGTCACTGTAATTCCTGCTTTTTAAATAAGAATCCTACTGTATAGGGCTTCAGATGCCCCCCTCCTTGTATGGTAAAACTGTAGTAGCCTTGCATTCTTTGTTATTACCTGGGTTCGAAACCCAGTTGGTTCGTACTGCCGATGAGTCCCAAACTCGGACAAAACAGCCGTCCGATACTCTCTGGTTTTCAGTGGTTCTCTAATTGACATCAATCCGTGGCCTATACGTGTATTTAGACTGACAAGCCTTAAGGAAACCTTAATGAGAATTCTTGACAATTCAAGAATAAAAGTGGCTGGCATTCAAAACCACAAACTCGATTAGAAACAAGCTTTGTCGGTTTTAGTATCTTGTGGAGCCAATAAAACAAAACAATTTAGTTTATCTAATAACCTGGAATGATTGTCAGGTCAAATACTCATATGAAAGTAATCCGTGGTCTAACCTGAATCCCTGAAAACTAATTCTTAAAGCATTAATATTGTTTCCGAACGTTACTCCATCTTTCATTCTGTTTCACTCATGTCTATTTCACTTTAACTCATTTTATTCATGTGTCTAATCAATCCTTACTCACGTATATGAACGAAGCAGGAATGTTGTGTGAGTACATCCTGATATGATTATGAGCAGTAATAAGCTGTGCTTGAAACGTGGTCATCATTAAATATTATTGTATAACAACACTGTGTGACTTTATCAAAATAAAATCTTATCCATATTGAAATTATAAGTAAAAGTGTTATACGTAAATAAATTTCTCATAGATGTATATTTGGTTAATAATTCTCCCATTACTGAAAATCCTTATGAAATGTTTCATTTTAAGATGATGATTAGTTTGCTTTTGACCAGTTGATGACTATCTTTTTGGACCGAAGATAATGTTAAATTGTAAGAACATTGTGCATGATTATTATTATTATTATTATGAAAATTCATACAGCCTATTCCACGACCTCATTATCTTTGAAAACTAAAACATCGAAACGACGTAAACTTGCGGTTGTAACTGTATCAGTCACTTTAGAATCAGGACACATTTCCTTCCAAGTGATGACGTTGTTATCGCTAAATATTGTACTGCCAATATTTTATTACTTTTCACGGTTGAATCAACTAATAGAAAGATGGATCTTGAGTTTTGTGTACGTCGTTGGTGTAAAATATGCTTCTTAACCGAAGTGTCAATGATGGTGGGACGTGTAGTGAGTATTCAGATCAAGGACAAGAAACATATCTTCCTCTTAGGATTGAATACGCCTAATCCAATTAGGAAAACCTTCAAGGAGGAGACATCCTTTAATAAAGTTACTCATTGTGTAATGTGAAGTATTAAATTGATTCAGCGTCAAATGACATAATGAGTATTAATGATATATTAGACTAATTCGTGAAAATGACTGAATTCTTTGCAATATGAGAGAACAGGTGAACGGTGGTGACAGACAACAAAATAGGGTCACCTACATCAGCCATCTAACTACAAGATGGCCAGTGCATTAGCCTGTCATGTTTTGGTTACCATTCTTAGGTATCAAGTATGTCAAATGTATTTGATGCCACTCTTACGATCCATTAGGTATTGGCGATTACAGTACTGACAACCCAGTGAAGAGAAAAGCCCGGGTGTAGGCTTTTGTGTGCAAAACCAGATAGTGTAAAAGGAATGTGAAAATGTTCGTTGAAATATATTCGAAACACTGATGCCTTGCTATTTCAATTATTTTAGATAAACCCAGAGTTTATTTCTTGCGGTCACCAACCATAAAAGCATGTCTATGCTTTGAGTGCGACTGTCTGTCTTTCAGCGATCACAAACGTAACATTAAGACTGTTAGGTTAAAGGATTTCATCATGAGCTGACATCGGTTAGAGAACCATTGGAAAACCTGGGAATACTGGACACTGTTTTGCCCCACTTTGAGACTCTTCAGCAATACGCATCCACCACCAGGGTTTGAACCCAGGAACTTCTGGTTATAAGACGACATGCCACTAGAACCACAGGTAGCTAGTTATGCGTGACCAGTAGTGTGCAGCAGGTCGGGTGTGAGGATAAATACTCGCCGAAGACAATGGCTAGCGATCACGCTGTGTCGTGAATTGGCAGAAGTTGCAATTCATGGGTTGGCCATCTGATCTAGTCCCAGTGGCTTAATGGTCTACTAGCTCGTCTTATAACCAGAAGGTTCTGTGTTCGAACCCTGGTGGTGGGTGCGTATTGCTGAAGAGTTCCAAACTAGGACGAAACATTTGTTCAGTACTCCTAGGTGGTTTCCCAATGGTTCTCTAACTGATGTCAGCTCATAATCAAATCCTGTAATCAATCAATCAAATCCCTGCAAATCAATACTTGAAAATAAAGACTGTTACTCATTAAAAGTGAATTCATTTATAAACTAATAAATAAATTTTATGAATAATTGACAACCAAGCAACTTTTCCAGAATTCTGATTCAGACAGCCAAAGTTGAAGGAACAATAATATTAGGCACAAGTGATCATAGTCAACCTTTAGCTTTGAAACTATTGTTAATGAAAAAATACTCTCTATTTTTCTTCTTCTATCAATTGCTATACGTATCATTTCTATAAATATTCTTTTTTCCGTTACTTCAGATATGGAGAAGAAAAGGAAAGGTAAGCAGATTATGCGGTCCAAACTGTAATGAAGCTCCCGGAGATCCAAATCTTACCTGTTGTACAACAGATTTGTGTAATGGAATGACAAACGTGATTGCCAACAAGAATATTATCATATTTCTACTTCTCATCACATTGATGCGTGCATACACTATGTAAGACACTGCACACTCCCGTACATATCGATTTGTTGTGTTTGTTTATTTCCTAAACATTTAATTATTTTCACATTAAAAGTGCTTCTGCTTTTATAATAACAATGTGATTGTGCATATCTGTCATACGCCTTTGTTCAATTTTCATTCAATCATTCGCTTTTCTCGTGTTCTTATATGTTTATCATACTTTCATTTTAGCTTTCCCTGTCTTTGAACTCAAATAATATTTATTATTATTATTGTTATAAAATATAAAGAACAAACACCACTTGATTGTAAGCTTCTAATATGCATAAATTTTGATGGAAAATAAAACACGAAACTACAGGAATGATGCAATAATTGTTCAAAGACGGTGAAACAGTCGGCTTACTAACTTTCTTAGGTATCTTGTGCTTAAATACGTTTCATAAACTAATACACTATGCGGTTTTCCTGTTGTAGCCAACACCTGTTAAGAAATATTCATAGGGATTGACTCTTGTGCCTGAGAATTTGCTTGTAGTAAGAAGACAGATACGCATAAGCTTCTGGTGAAGTGCACGCTAAGCCTATTAGCTGCACGGAAGAATTGAATTGACATTATACCGTTAAGAATCCAGGTCTTGTTCCGCATGTTGAGCACGATTGCTGGGCTTTTCTGGCCATCTGATCTTGCGTACTGAACGCAGACAGCTGTTGATGAAGGTCTGTAGTTTGTTCTAAGTGCCCTTCGTGACGAGGCGCGGCTCCAAGTTTCTGATCCGAGAGTAGTAAGTAGCACTGACTTCACATTGGAGTTGAAAATCCGGATCTTATTTTTCACGCTGAGTGCTGTTGATCTCCACACAGACTTGAGAGTAATGAAAGCCTACCTTGCTTTCAAAATCCGCGCTTTGATATCCTCACCAGTTCCGTCTGTAGTTGAAACGATATTTCCCAGATAGTTAGGTGGGTAAAGGAGGTTGCTTCTTTCAGATTTCTCTCATTTATGTTGATTGTTGTTACTGTTGACCAGGAATCTTCATCACCCCATTTCTCCCTATGTTCTTTATGTTGATCTTACCCATTATATTTCTATTATTAGAGTAATATTATATTTCATAATCGTAAATTGTCCAAAAATTGAGGACAAACTGAAATCTGTCAGATTGTTTTTGTCTGTAATACTTACATTGTTGCTGATCAGATCACTGTACAAAAATGTAGCTCTTTATGACTTATTCCTTCAGAAAACTTTGAAGCAGAAGCTTATAATATGTTTAAGTAAACCTATCATAACCCATTTGTTATAGTCATTCTGAGAACGTGGTGCAGTATAAAAGGGAGATTTTATGAGGGATTAAGTTTTGCTTGCATAACATATGGACAAACAATCTTTAAAGTGTGCATGAGAAGTTCATAAGGTTTAAGGCATTCTCCAACTACTTTCTAATGTAAACTGTCACATGTATTATGTACGATTATAAATAATAAGGATTACTGCAGGAGTACTTCCCCTACCCCTACATTACTCATGCTTTAATCTCACTTTCTGTCAAACAAAAAGGACATTAAATAGGTCACTGAGCATTCAGTGTCTTAATTTTCCATTAAGGTGCATCATGGTGACTGAATATTATGCGCACTCGTAGCTTTTATGAAGCATTTATCTCGACTATAAGACATTGTAAATGCTGCACTGTATATCCACCCACCTAAACAATAATAAGAAATTTAGTTTAACATTGAGTAGTAATATTTTGTAAAAATTACTCATGCGTCAGACGTATGTCAAGTTTTTTCTTTCTTGAAATTATAAACGCAAAGTGATATTGTTCCCCCTCAGCGAATTTGAGAAAAAACAAAACATGTTTCTGCACGAAATTTGAATAGGCGGTTTGCGGGAATCGCCAAAATCAAACATGTTTGAGCAAAGTTGTTTTCGCAAAAGTACCTATGAATTTTTTGTGTGTGAATTAAAACAAATTTTATGTTGAAACCATAAAAGATAGGCCCATTATACAAAGCATTGAGTCATGCAAAAATATTTGGCAAATAAAAGACATATAGGGTGTATGAGAATTGAAAACTGATAAAGATAAGTAGACGCTAAATTGCTTCAAATCACCTATTAAAAGATTACAATATCAGTATTTAGTTGGTGGATGGTGACTAGCAGTGGAATCCAGGATGCGCATTTCTTCCTATTTGGGACTCGTCAGCTGGATGTACCTGCATTTCTCAGTGAGTGATGAACAGTATCACATTCTAATCACAATAAAAAATAGAAGCATAATAATAATAATCACTTTATTCCACAACAATAACAATTTACAACATGGAATTTTCAGCGTTTCATTTTACATATTGCATTGGTTTATCTCTTTTTATAATTATATAAATGTATGAAATGTTAAAAATATTGATTATTAATAGGAAAAAATAAAAACCCCAACAAAATCACACCATTTCTAGGTCACAGTGAATAATAAATAAATAATATAACAAATCACACATGCATTACTATGCATCATTACATTTTATAGTTTAGTTAATGATTTAAAAGTTGTAAAAGTTCTTTTCTGATATTCGTCTCTTCGCACAATACTCGTGCCAAATATGGTATGGTCGAATTTTTATATTTTGTAATACGAGCATAAATGTTTATGAAATTTCTTCTGGTCTTACCCGAAGAGATACAAGGAAACTAATGTGAATAAAGAGGATGTTCACTATCAGACGAAATAACTTTAGCTAAGTGTTTACAAGAATTCATATGCCTATTGACAACAGTGTCGGTTAGTTGAGTCAAAGGGATAGCACTGACCCTACTTATAGCCTTCAATGTTCTTCGTAGTATTATATGGTCTCTCTTGAGTAGCCCAGGGAAGAATAATGGAGAAAAATAAAGAATGATGGGCAAAACACATGAATTAATAAATTGTATGAGAAGAGATTGGGTTATACCTGAGTGCCTCAACTTCTTTATGTAATAAGTCAGACAGAAAATCTTTTTAGAAACTATAAGAATATGAGACGACCAGCAAAGGTTTGAAGAGAAACTAATGCCAAGATAAGAAACACTTGACTTACTCTCTATCATGGTACCATCAATATTATAACAATCATGAGATTGGATCAATCCATGCATGTCTTTTTCACTTCTCAAGCTGAAATCAACAGTATTACATTTAGTTGGATTTAGTTTAAGACCATTTGAGCCAGACCAATCCTTAACTTCAGCTAAGAAGCCATTCATATGGGAACAATCCGATGTGGAAACTACAGGGACAGAAACGGTCAGATCATCAGCATACTTAATGAAGTTAACTTTGGCTGAGTTCGGAAGGTCATGCAAAAAGAAAGAGAAAAGAAATGGAGAAAGTACTGCACCTTGAGGCACACCACTTTCAGTTAGCTGAGAAGTGGAGTGCTTTCCAGCCAAAACAGTATGCTGTTTCTTATCCTTAAAATAAGAAGACAGCCATTTAGTTGCCCAGGACTCTGTCTGTGCTGAAATCATCTTTCCTAATAAAAAAGTCCTAGGAACAGAGTCGAAAGCTGCAGTATAGTCTAAAAAAGCTGTTCGAACGAACTTAGCACCCTTATCAAGGCTGGAAACAATATTGTGGTGTAGTACTATGGCTGCATCTAATGTACTTCTTCAACACTTGTAAGCAAACTGCTTAGGGTCACTAAAAGCTTTTAAAGAAGGTTTAAGAAAGTTCAAAAGAAGTTTCTCCATAGTTTTCAAAAAAGGAGATGTTATAGCGACCGGTCTAAACTTTATACCTGCTCCAGAAGATGATTTTTGTACAGGTACAACTTTGATTTCTTTCCAGTCAGCAGGTACCGTTTCCTTGTTAAATGATGCATTAAAGATTTGAGTAAGAGGATGACACAAGATGTCTGCACACTTTTGAAGAAGAATGCCTGGTACACCATCTGGACCAAGGTTGTGTGTTGGATTTAAAGATTTTAAACATAATATTACATCCTCTTCTTTAAAACCCGGAAAATGACCATTATCTTGACTAGGTACATCAGGTACAGGCATATTAATTTGTTTCATGATAAATGATTTGTTTAAAGCATTAACATCAGAATAAGCATCAATAGACATTTGTTTTTTACTTGTAAGTTTATTGACGACAGAGGGTAAAACTTTTGTCTAGAGATGAAGATGATAAGTGACTGGGGTTATTCTTCTGTTCATATTTCATCTGCCGTCTGAGTGAAGTTTTTTCAAAAGTCGCATGGTATGCATGCCTGCCTCGAATGGTTATACAATCCAGATGAGGTGAGGTATAGTTTTCATATCTTGATCCTGCTTATGCGGAAGGGCCAGAATATCCTGAGAATATATATTTTCAAGTCGTAAGATGAAAAACACTAAGTTAGATCTTTTTATTATTAAAGATCCACCTCACTTCTATACGGTTTCATTCGCATACAATGAGTCGGAAGAACTTGAGAGATGATTTTCAAACAGAATAACAACAATCAAATGTAGACATTTAAGATCATCTGCACTTTTGTAGAGCAGCAAAGGTCGGCTGGAATCATTCTCCAGGATGAAATATATATATATAATTCCTAAAGCGGACGATATAAATCTTCTGAAAATCACAAATGCTCACTGTCTAGTTATTTCCATTAATGTCAGCGAAACTTTGCTTCAGAAGTTCTCTTATTTGACTTTCTGTTGCTTCAAAATTCATTCGATCATTCAATGAGCTCTCCTAGATTACACATCTGCTTTTGACTCTGTACCTAGGCATCTTTTGTTAAACCAGCTTGCTGCGATCCAAAAACACAACTCTGGACTAATAGTAACAGTTGCATTTCTATTTCTCTGATATGAGGCAGTACACTATTTCAATGGGAGGTCCTCTCCACTACCTCTTCACATACTCTAGCTGGTGTTTCTCAAGCAGCTGTTCTGTTTTCCTTCTTCTCACATGACTTGCGACTAGTTAGTTCGCAAGGTTCCACTGTCATAGATGGCACTGAAGTTGAAACTAAATAGAATGTTAAATA